AGCATGATCTTGCGACGCTTACTGGATTGTGGCGTTGCCGTGATATCAGTGAGTCCGGGTTCGTGACTTGGTGGCTTCGAGTTCAACATTGCTGTGTTGCTGTGTGGGATTCCCAGCCCCACATGCGTCATTTGCCGTTTCTTGGTCAATGGAGGTTAGACTAAAGGACTGGAGTAATGTTGGTTTAGTTGTGTTCACAGAATGGTTCAGGAGCCACAGGGATGCATCTCTCCTGCCCTCGACAGGGCCACCACACGCGGTGGGTTCATCTGAAACCCTATGCTTTGGGCAGGCAGACTGGCCGAGCTCAAGCTAGTTGACAAAGTCCTTGGAAGGTTAAAGAAGGCATTGAGTTTCAAAGAGCCCTTCGCTCTTCTCCCTGCGGTGATTTGGCCTCTGACCTTGCGGCAGCCTAAGGCATCAGCGCAGGCCCAGCAGTGCTCAGTTGTGCAGGCTGAACACTGCTTCCATGGCTGACTGCCTCTTTATTCTTCGTGAGATGCCAGCGATGAGGTGTTGTTGGTAAAGCACCCGGCCATTCAGCTCATTAGCTGGCTGTACCTGTTGGGGAGGTGCTGTGGACAATTTGAATCTGAGTGACAGTAAACAAACATATCATTGTTCCTCCACTCTTCCAACGGCACAGAGCTCTGCCACCTTCAGTCAAGTGGTCTGTGCTTGACAAGAAAAGAAGAACGTCCTTGGGAGCCACTGGGTCGGTGGTGTGGAACCGGGATCTCTGGTCTCCGGCTTCTCGCCTGCCTTGTACGCAGGCAGGCGTCTGCTTCCAGACTGGAGGCTTGGAAGCTTTTAAAAGGCTCATTTGTTCTGCTTCCCTTATTTCCAAGCTAGAGCAGAAGACTGACTGGCCCCATTTTCTGCCCTTGACTCTAAAATTCTGGACATTCGGGGAGGGTGGGGACCAGAGAGGTGTATCTCCCAGGTGCTCTGTTCCTTCCTGGGGGTCTGCACTGGCCTTGGAAAAAATGGGCCCCAGGGTGAGCGGCAGGGAGACTCCGAGTGGTCACGGTTGGGGGTTTGAGCCAGTTTGGGATCACACCGAGTGCTTTGCTCTGTTACCTTTGAAATCCACGCGGCAGGTCAGAGTTACCTCCTCTTACTTTCTCTCTTTTTTCATTTTGCCACAAGACAGAATTGTATCACACATCTCCAAAACGAGTAAAATGGCATTTCAGCTTCTTGTCTTTATAGACTCTCTGAACTTTAGGAAAGATCATTCTGGTCCCTTTTCATTAATAATGAAAACCAAGGGGCAATAAAATGTTCTTAACGCGAGCATGTCAGGAATGAGTCGCGGTGTGGGGGTGAAGGGTGCGGCCGGCAGGGAGCCACAGGTGTTGCTTGGTGCTTGAGGAGGTCAGAGCTCTGGAAAGGTGGTGGCCGCTGGAGGAGGGGTTCTGATTCGTGGACCCCTGCACTGCCAGCATCTGTTCAGCCTTCCAGCTCCAGTACCCAGAATGAGAGACTGCGCCTCTCCAGGCACGATGTTTGCAGGAAAGAAGGAAGCGGGCAAGCTTTGGTTCTGGTCCAGTTTCTAGCGCGTTGCAGCTGTTCTCTTGCAGGAGATTGAGTGAGTATTTGAGAAGTCAGTGGTGAATAGAATATTCTAGAAACATGCCCATGTTGAAGCTGTTCTCTCTGAGGATTTGGGCAGCACAGATGGAGGTGCTAGATGTGGACGGAAGCCCTCCTGAACAGTGACTCTTGAAGAGTGACAAGGTTACTGTCTCCACTTTTTCCTCCTAAAAATGGACTCGTACTGGATGTTGGACGCTGCATCGAGGCACTCAGAGCGGAGTGGGCTCGGGATGCGACCAATGAGAAGGTTGCCCGGGACTCAGAGCCTCCTGGCTCCTCTGGGTCAGGGTAGAAATGTCCGTCTACGTCGGGGGTCTCAGAGCTTTTGATTTAATGAGCCGCAGTTGCTTATCCGCATAGATACTTGTTGGGTGGGCACGCTCACTACAGCAGAGCAGCAGAACTCCTTTCTGGAGACGGTTTCTGTGACCCAGAGAGTCACTACACAGCCCCAGGAGGGAGTGGGGACACCCTGGCTTGCCATAACCCACACCCCAGAGCCCATGCGACATGCCAAGATGCACCATAAGCAGAGTCAAAAGACATATACTGGGAGGGACTTTTGCAGCTTCTGTCACAGACAAAGGACTAATTTTCCAGGCTCCTCCATCACTGTCACCTTTGCCTCCTGAAAGCCCCCTTCAGCAGTATAAGAAGTTTTATAAATTGATGAGGAAATCGAGTAGGAGAGCAGGATCACATACAGTACCCCAGAGAGGACACACAGGGAAGAGATGTTCAGTCCTCTCTGGAAGATAAAGGCAAATGAAAACTGGAGTGGGGACTCTTTTCTCCTTAGTACGGGCAGAAATCTGAGTGTGTTGAGCCCGCGGTGCTGCTGTGAGGAAGTAGGCACTCTTGGACACGGCTGGTGGGAGCCCACTGGTTCAGCCCCCGTGGAGGACTATTTGACAGTATCTTTCCAAATTGCAAATTGCCTGCACTTCCGACCTAGGCGCCTAGGGATTGACGTGCACGGCTATACTCGGACGTATACGTGAGATGACATGCGGTCACAGTCCTTGGGGGCAGCATTGTGTGAAACAGTAAGAGGCTGGAAATCAATGGGGAGTTGCTTAAATGGAATATTAGGCAGCTCTGGAAAGACAGCAGAATGAGGACGAGGGGGAACGGGCAAATAATACGGAGCAGTGTTGCCTTAGACGTGCATAAAAAGTCTCAGGCAGGACAGACAGGAAGCTGTTCACAGTGGCTGCTGATGCTGGAGGGAGGCTGTTGGCAGTAGAATGACAAGATGATCTGTGTGCTTTTTAGACCGTGTGCGTCTCGTAGCTCCTCAAAAACTGTAAAACAGAAAAGGGAGTTGAGGGCTGAGGGGGGGTGGGCATCTTGGGAGTAAGTGCAGAAGACTCCAGGGCTGGGCCACCTTGGGAAACTGGTTGGGAGTCTGTAGGCCACACAGGTAGTGAGCAGGGAGGTGGCTGATGAGAGACTCTTCCAGGCCCCTGCGTCACTGTCGCGTCCGCCTCCTGAAACCCCATTCAGCTCAGGGAGGCGGGAGCGGCGTCCTTGCCACCTTGAGGGTCTTTGCCACTTGGACCAACCCCCCCACCCCCCGCGGCCTGTGTGTCAGCAGCCCTTCCTCCCTGAGTGCCCACGTCCTGCCACTGAGCTTTGAGAAGTTCCCTCGCCTGCTCCCCTCTCGTCACGAGATGCCAGGATGTGACGAGGACCTGGAGAGCTTGCACGCCCAGGGACAGGTGAAGGCAGAGACCCCCGGCGCCCGCCCCTGGTGTCTGCCCCTGACCGTGCTTCGGCTTTGCCCCCTGACCTCGTGCTCTTTTCAAGAAGTTCGGGAATGCGGTTGCTCTTCCTCCTCTTACCCTTTCCTCTCCTAAATGCGCGTGCGCACCCCAGCTTCCTTGTCATAGCAGTCCCGGGGGGTGCCTTCTGGACAGCCTGCTGCGGGCGCTGTGGTCTGCTGCCACGGATGGATTAGTGTCCTGCATTAGTGCCCTGCCTTCCCTGGCAGGTCCCTTGAGAGGAGGCCGAGCGTCAGGGAAGATTATGGACACGAAAGCACTTTGTAAACAGTGCATGGGAAAGATTGTGAGGTAGAGAACCCCGCTCTCCTCCATTCAGGAGTTGGGGGGGGGGGTCTCCTGGAGGCTATTCTAGAGCACTGGGCCTGGGGCCTGCACCTGCGCAAGGACTGGCTGCCCATTTCCGGTCCCTTCACAGCAGCAGCATGTTGTCATCCTGGCCCCATCCCTCTTACCTTTTGTGGCCCCTTTGGTAGCCTCTTCCCTGCCTCCTCACCTCTCTACCTCCCACTTGTATCTCGCCCTCGAGGACACCCCGTGTTATCTCCCAAAATACAGAGCTGACTGGGTCACTCCTGATTCAGAGCCTTCGGTGACCCCACTGCTGTGATCCACCTCTTCTCCCCGCTCTGCCCTCTACCACTCCCGCTTGGGTGACTCCTCTCTGCTCTTGCTGGCCTCCCCCCTTGGATAGGCCCAGTTGCTCACTTGGGTCACACTGGCCACCTTCTCTCCTTTGAACAAAAGTCAACCCCTACCTTTGTACTTGCGCGTCCCTTGCCTGGAGCTCTGTCCTTGGGACCCCACAGGCCTCAGCATCTGCCTCTTCCAAGGCCCTGCTGACCCCTGCTTCTCTCCCCCGACTCCCCGGCATCACCCTGTTGGGGCTCCCCCCCCCTTTTTTAAGATTTTATTTATTTAAGTAATCTCTACACCCAACGTGGGGGATCGAACTGACAACCCCGAGATCAAGAGTCTCCTGCTCCACCGACTGAGCCAGCCAGGTGCCTGCCCTGTTGGGCCTTCTTGATCACTCTCCGGAGTTGCCTTGCTCAGTTGTTTGGAAGCTGTCTCCTGCACTTGTTGAGTGTGAGAGCAGACCAGGACACGGGAGTCTCGTCGCCATTGTGCCCCCGTGCCTGCAACACGGTCGGGCATGCAGAGGATGCTTCGTGAAGTCTTGAATACACAGATGGTGGAGGCTCCTTTCCCCCGTCCTCTGCCTCTCAAGTGGCTCTTAGCTCATCCCTGTGGGTGGCAGGTGGGGGGACGTGTATTGACGCACACCTAAGTGTGTTTGTGTCAGCCTCGCAGGACCCTTTGTTCCCTGAGAGCGGAGACCGTGCCCTAGATCGCCTCTGTCACCTGAGGGCCACCCGAGGCTTGCTCGCTGCCACACACCTCTGCACAGGAGGTGTGAGGTTGAGGCAGGTGGTCCCGAGAGCCCGGAAAGAGCGGGGAGGCGACGCCAAGCCGCTGTTCCCGACCGTCGCACGCCATCCCGTGTAGTTGTGTGTCACAGATGCCGATCCTCTGAGATTCAGACAGTACACGTGCTCTCCCCCGCCCAGGAAGGATGCGTGTGCTTCTCCTGACGCCCTTTTCTCCCCACCTCAGGCCCTGTGGGGTCCCGATGGAGGGACTACGGCGCCTTGGCTGTCATCACGGCAGGCATTGCGTTTGGCTTTCACCAGCTCTACAAGGTAAGTCCGCCTTCCCTGTGGCTCCCCTGGCATTCAGCCCCACGCTCCCCCGTCCCAGGGTTTACCTGTGTCGAGGCACCCAGCCCTGGAGCGCGATGGCAGGAGAGGGGCCGCGTGTGGAGGCGGAGTATACGGAGGAACACGCTCTCTGCACGGGGCGTCTGGTTCGGGCTCCGTGCTGCCCCCGCCTGCGTGGCAACTCCAGACCCCGCCTCGTCTGCTGCACTCAGCACTGCCCCTCCGCGTCCCCACTGCACAGGGTGACTGTGGGGCCCATCCATCTACAGGCCATGTGCCCGGCACATGCTGAGTGGCCGGGGCATTTCTGAGAGACAGAATAACACGGTGCTTGAGAGCATGGACACTGGGGCCCGGCTGCTGTGTGGCATCCTGCTTCTGCCACCTAGTAGTAGCTCAGTGGTCTCACCTGTAAGACGGGGACAGTGGTACCTACCTCATGAGGCTGTTGTGAAGCCCAAAGGAGTCCCTGCTCCTTTGAAAGTGCTGTGTACCTGGCACTCAGGAAGCATTCTGTATGCTATTGTTCTACTTTAGTATTGGGAACCAGCTTTGAGAATCTCACTGTGATCCTATTTATGGGCTGTGTTTTCTGTTTCCTGCATATTATCTTGGCATCCACGTAAATCTGGGATTTTTTTTCCCGCAAACTTCATGGTCAACCCGCTGGATCCCAGACTTCATTGTTCCCAACAGAAGTGCAGGCGTGAAATGAACACGTAATTCCTTGATACCAAATACGAACCAGATACTGACCAGCAGACACTAACTTTGATTTGAAGCAAAGCGCGTCTTTTTGAGGACACAGAGCCGGGGGTAAGCCCCAGAGACAACTCTCTACTGGTCCTGGGGAGAAGTCTCCTGGGGAGAAGGCTCCTGGTCCTGGGGAGAAGGCTCCTGAGCCCCTGCGGTTCCACCCTCATTTGCAGATTAAAAAAAAAAAAAAA